ACAGTGAGAGAGAGACAGACAGACAGACAGAAAGGTCTTCCTTCCAGTGGTTCACTCCCCAAATGGCCGCTACAGCCGGCACTGCACTGGTCCGAAGCCAGGAGCCAGGTGCTTCTTCCGGTCTCCCATGCGGGTGCAGGGACCCAAGCACTTGGGCCATCCTCCATTGCCTTCCCGGGCCACAGCAGAGAGCTGGACTGGAAGAGGAGCAACCGGGACTAGAACCCAGCGCCCATATGAGAGGATTAACCAAATGAGCCATGGCACCGACCCTAGGAATTTAATTTTTAAAAATTGAAAACTACATGTGACATGCTTAGGATTAAATGCTGTCCTTCAAAGCAGTCACCTTTGGAAGACATAGGTATCGAAAAGCATAAAGAAGAAACTCCAGTAAAAGGATTGAGTTGGCTGTAATTTATGGAGGTGTAGAGAAAATTTTCAGACCTCTTTGAGTGAGTGCCTGACTATATTTAATATAGTCAGGCATCATATTTAATATGATTAATCATATTTAATATGATTAATATTTAATATGATTCGGTTATACGATGAAGGAAATAGCTGTTTTGTTTTGTTTTGACAGGCAGAGTGGACAGTGAGAGAGAGAGACAGAGAGAAAGGTCTTCCTTTGCTGTTGGTTCACCCTCCAATGGCCTCTGCAGCCGGCGCGCTATGGCTGGTGCATCGCGCTGATCCGAAGGCAGGAGCCAGGTGCTTCTCCTGGTCTCCCATGTGGGTGCAGGGCCCAAGTACTTGGGCCATCCTCCACTGCACTCCCGGGCCATAGGAGAGCTGGCCTGGAAGAGGGGCAACCGGGACTAGAAACCGGTGCCCCGACCAGGACTAGAAACCGGTGTGCTGGCGCCGCAAGGCGGAGGATTAGCCTAGTGAGCCGCGGCACTGGCCAGGAAATAGCTTTCTATGGAAGAAGGTACTAACACCTATCAAGTCCACATCTTGAAAGCAGCAGAGCTGGGATTTGAACCCAGGAGTTCTAACTTGGTTTCTTTATCTAGTTAGCTTTGAGCTGCATGTTGGGATTTGTAATTTAAGATGTTGGAGAGGGTGGATTTGAATTGTATATAACCAGTGAGAAAAAGTACACATGAAGGTCTTTTCTCCTGAAAGGTGATCCTTCGTTTGGGAGCAGTCTCCAGGCTTGCCGTCTACCATTGAATGTTCTGTTCACTGCTGACATTTGGGAAATGTTAGGTGAACGTTGGCTAATAGTGGTAATGACACAGTCACTGACCTAATTACTTTGATGCTTGTCATTTATACACGTTGTATGTACAGCAGATGTGTTTCAGATGCTATTCTGCTAGGTCTGATCTTCGTGCTGATACCACACTTGTGGTTGGCATATTCCCCAAACAGTAGTTCACACTTAGACTGTGGCTGCCTTCACTCCTATGCCTCAGATAATTCCAACCTGCAAAAATGCCTGTGTGGAAAACTCAGTGGAAGCTCTCTTAAATGAGTAAAGTTTTAAATCATCAATCTTGAGTTTTGAGAAAAAGGCCTATTGATAGTTATTCTTACATAAAATGTGAAGAGTGGTAGAATGTACTTTGTAAAAAATTTTTGTGACTAAAACATAGTACAATAGAATAAATTGTTTTTATAAAATAAAGGATAAGGACAGTTTTTAAACTTTTATACATTTGCCTAAAAAGTAATCATTAATTTTGAAAACTAAGTTCCCTAAGTTAAAATAGACAGCTGTAACTCACAGACTGGAATTCCACAGGTACCTGACTAGGTAGTGCAGTTGTTGCTTTTGCTCGTAAGTGAAGATTGCTTTGAAACGATTTCTCATTGTCTGTGACATCAGCATTCTAGATTGTGAGTTGGTGAAGGTCTGTAGGACAAAAGGTGGAACATGTTCAGTAGTCTGAGAAGTATGAAAATTGATGGTATCTACAGAAAATGAAATCCTTGCTGCTCCGTAACTGAGGTGTCTGAATTCTCTCACGGTTCTTATCCTTCTATCCAGGACTTACTGTTTGATCTTTTCAGAGTAGTGAAATCTTCTGCTCATAAAAACACTAAAACCTACCAAGAATATGTAATTAAAAGGCTTGCCATCCTGGAAGATATTTGGAGCTGAAAATACACTAGATTTCAACTTAAATTTCCACTAAACTAAAACACAACTTATATTGTCACAAAATAGGTATGTAATATCAGGGTTCTGTGTGTGTGTGTGTGTGTGTGTGTGTATACACTCATAATACATAGAGTCAAATGAGGGTACTTGAAAAATTCACGAAAATGGGATAAAATATTTATTGTGGTGCAAGAATTTTTGAAATCCCTTTATAGTTTTTTCATAATACACATTTCCCATGAACTTTTTGAATTCCTCTCATATAATATACAGTGTTTTGAGGAAATATATGTGCATTTTGTTTTGATTCAGTAGTGTTTCATGACTCATACCCCACATGTCTCTAGAGCATTTGGTGGAAACCTCAAACACACTTTCACAGAAGGAAAAGTTTGCCCTCCTGATCGTTCCTGTTGATATCTCTATAGTTTTGAAAAGCACAAGAATTTCCAAGGCCCTGGAGTGTGCAGAAAACCTGAGGAGAGAATGGCCAATGTGATAATGGTACCTGGGCAATTTTTTTTTTTTTTTTTTGACAGGCAGAGTTGGAGAGACAGAAAGGTCTTCCTTCCATTGGTTCACCCCCCAAATGGCTGCCATGGCCAGCGCACTGCACTGATCCGAAGCCAGGAGCCAGGTGCTTCCTCCTGGTCTCCCAGGCGGGTGCAGGGCCCAAGGACTTGGGCCATCCTCCACTGGCTTCCTGGGCCACAGCAGAGAGCTGGACTGGAAGAGGAGCAGCCGGGACAGAATCCAGCGCCCCAACCGGGACTAGAACCCGGGGTGCCGGCGCCGCAGGCAGAGGATTAGCCTAGTGAGCTGCAGCGCCGGCCTGGGGCAATTTCCTTGCGCACCCTAGGGTGGAAGTGATTTTTAGCTTGTGTTTATTCATGGAAGACCCTGCTGCCGTGTGGGAGGCTGGAAGGAAGCAGAGGATAGCTGCCCTGGCAGCCACCAGTAACTGGGCTTGTAGGCGACACAGCCCGGTTTATTTGATAATTTTGTTTCACTCTTCTTTTCTTTATCTAGGACAAGTTTAGATTAGACTAGAAATATCTACCCAACAGCAGAAGTGGCCCCATCAGCACTGTATGTCCGTGCTGCACAGCCTTGACCTAATTTTGACAGACACCTGTCACATGGCACAACTGAAATGTAAAACCTGTTTTTGGATGTCTGGTCACTTGTGTGGACTCTGAAAATGGAATGTATGTGTACCCTAATCAGCTCACATATCAAAGATCAGGAAAATCCAGCTGCTCTATGCATTTTTTCCTGCCTCTTTTACCTGGATCCTAAGTTACACCGAGAAGAGTGTCTTTTCTACTCATCCTCTTGAACACGGCCTTGAGATTCTGTGTCTAAATACAAATACACCTGAATCTGATTTTAATATTTATGTATGTATGTGAAAGTCAGAGAGAGACAGACACTTCATCCCCTGATTCACTTCTCAGTTGGCTGCAATAGCCAGGGCTGGGCCAGACCAAAGCCAGAAGCCTGGAACTCCATCTGGGTCTCTCATGTGGGTGACAGGGGCCTAAGTACTTAGACCATCTTCTGCTGCTTTTCCCAGGCCATTAGCAGGGAGCTAGATTGGAAGTGGAGCAGCTGGGATGCCGGTGTAGATGGCTTTACCTGCTACAGCACACAGGCCACTGGATCTGTTTTTATTCAGTGGAAACACTGTTTCTTTATTTGCCATTATGGACTTGATAATACACTGTATGAAGAAAATGAGGGGCTAGGGTAGAGCTTCCCAGGCAAGGGAGAAGCGTCTGATAACTTCAGTACCTTGGCCCTCAGGCAGGCAACTGAGTACTAAGGTGGTTAGAGTATCCTTTTGTTTATCTTAGCTGTCATTGTATAAATAGTATCATTTTATGTAGGCCATTAGGTGAAAATGTAGTGAAAACCTGCCCTATGAAGGATGGTTGGCAGAGAGCATTGGTTAACACCCTGGAGGAGAGATGGTCAGTGTTCACTGAGAAGAAATAATAAGCAAAGGTTCAAACTGGTGGATTTAAATCCATTGTGGCATAACGGGTAAAGCTGCTGCTTGCAACACAGGCATCTCCTATGGGCACCAGTTCCAGTCCTGGCTGCTCCACTTCCAATCCAGATCCCTGGAGATGACCTGGGAAAAGCAGCAGATGATGACCCAAGTGCTTTGGCTCCTGCCACCCACGTGGGAGACCCTAAAGAAGCTTCCGGCTCCTAGCTTTGGCCTTGTCCAGTCCTTGCTGTTGGTGCCATCTGGGGGTTGAAACAGCAGATGGAAGATCTCTCCCTGTGTCTCTGCCACTCTCTCTGTAACTCTGCCTTTCAAATAAATAAATCTCAAAGTATATATCTGTAGCCAGATTGGAAGCTCATCATGATGCAAGTGCAGGCTACAGAACAATAATATATTGAGAAATTCAAATATCATTTTTATATACTGTATTTATGTATTTTAAAGCTGTTTTTATTACATTATCACTGATTTTTTTTAAAAGATTTTATTTATTCATAAGTCAGAGTTACACAGAGAGAAGAGAGGCAGAGAGAGAGAGAGAGGTCTTCCATCCCATGGATCACTCCCCAATTGGTCACAACAGCCAGAGCTGTGCCGATCGGAAGCTAGCAGCCAGGAGCTTCTTCTGGGTCCCCCACGTGGGTGCAGGGGCCCAAGGACTTGGGCCGTCTTCCACTGCTTTCTCAGGCCATTGCGGAGAGCCAGATCAGAAGAGGAGCAGCCGGAACTAGAGCCAGTGCCCATATGGGATGCCAGCGCTTTAGGCCAGGGCGTTAACCCGCTGCGCCACAGCACTGGCCCCATCATTGATTTTTATTTCAGAGGTTTTTCATATGAGGAGACTTAAAAAAACATTACGGAAAATGTGCATTATCTTTTAAAATGTTTATTTTTCTATTTATGCATTTTGTTTGAAAGGCATAGAGTCAGAAAGAGATCTTCAGTATGGTAGTTGATTCCCCAGAGGTCCACAATAGCCAGGTCTGGGCCAGGTTGAAGCCAAGAGCTTGGAACTCTATCCAGATCTTCTGTGTAGAGACCCAACATCTGCTGCCTCTCACGGTGTGCTTTAGGAGGAAGCTGGAAGGGAACTGGATAAGCTGAAACTGGAACCTAGGCACAGTACAGAAGGCAGGCATCCAAATGTTGACTGCATTGGATGCCTGCCCCAAATTTGCATTATCCTGTTCATGAAATTTTTACAGACCTCTCATATAAATACTTTTATTTGATTCTTTATGGGCTGATATTATGTCCATTTTAGTGAGAATCTGAGAAATTGAGTGGCAGACTTCTAGTTTGGTATCTATTCTACATTACATAAATTCTCATGTTTATTGTATTTCTTTTTTTTTTTTTTTTCTGACAGGCAGAGTTAGACAGTGAGAGAGAGAGAGAGACAGAGAGAAAGGTCTTCCTTCCGTTAGTTCACTCCCCAAATGGTTGTTGTGGCCGGTGCGCTGTGCTGATCTGAAGCCAGGAGCCAGGTGCTTCCTCCTGGTCTCCCATGCGGGTGCAGGGCCCAAGCACTTGGGCCATCCTCCACTGCCTTCCCTGGCCACAGCAGAGAGCTGGACTGTAAGAGGAGCAACTGGGACAGAATCTGGCACCCCAACCAGGACTAGAACCTGGGGTGCCAGTGCCGCAGGTGGAGGATTAGCCAAGTGAGCCACAGCGCCGGCTTATGTTTATTGTATTTCAAAGTGATAATTGTCTCCTGGAAAGAGGAAAAGAGTTAAAAGTAAAATGATTTCTTTCTTAACCTCAGAAAGGAAGTTATATCCCTGCATAGGTATACTATACCATTACCACATTTGTTTTAGTTAAATGCTCGTACTTATTCTGGGTGGATAACTTATGAAAAAGTAGAATATCATACTTACCATAGACCAAGGTGACAACAGCCAGGTATTTTAGCTTACCCAGTATCCAAAACCTTGTGATGACAGGGCTCAGAAGTAAGGTGCCAGGTTAAAAGTACTTTTTCCCTTACAAAGCCAGTGTCTTTGAAGTATAATTGTTCAATAACTTAAGTATGACTCCACAAGTAAGTTGTAGGCATGCAGGGAAGGCAGGAAAGAAGCATCTTATTGCTCACTAAATTTCACAGACTAGCCACAAAAAGATTAATAGTCAAATTTAAATAAGGTAATCTGTAAGTTTGATAAACATTTTTCTCTAGCCCTGAAAATTAAGACTTCTTTAAAAGCTTTCCTCAAAGCCCTTTTTAAAAGGCAAACACTTGCCTTTTAAATGCTTAAAAGTGGCTTCAATGCCATTTCACTTAAATTCCTTTTCTTTATAAGATGACTGGGACAAATCAAAGCATGAAAAATTGCAGCTCACCTCTGACTTGAATCTTTCATCTTGTTCCTTTCTCTGACATGGTTTATTTATCTTTAACCACTGTGAAGAGTAAGAATGATCAGATTCAGAATGATTTAGAAGTTCCAAAAATAGTGCTATGTCTCTTGGTTGACATGAAGCTAAAATTCCAAGGAGAGTTTACATATTTTTTATGTCAAATATGTTTTCTGAGTTGTTGAAAATAAAACTTTTTTCTTCAATTACCAATTTATAACTTCATTTCCCTGCATAGGAACACTGTCTTAAAATCTTATATACAAGGCACTTCAAAGAGTTCTCATGAAAATGAAATTAAAAGGCAGATTTACATTGGTGTAACAAATTTCAAATCTCCTGCATAATTCTTTATTATGTGCATTTTCATAAGCTTAATTTTTTTTATTTTCACTTTATTTGAAAGGCATAAAAACACAGAAAGAGCTGGAAGAAGATCTTCCATCCACGGTTTCCCTCCCCAGATGCCTAAAACGGTCTAGGTTGGGCAACACTGAAACTAGGAGTCTGGAACTCAATCCAGGTCTACCACATGGGTGACAGGGACCCAAATACTTGAGCCATCACTGCTGCCTCCTAGGGTATACCCCAGTAGGAACCTGGATCAGAATCACTTGGTTAATCCTCTGCCTGCAGTGCCAGCATCCCATATGGGTGCCGGGTTCTAGTCCTGGTTGCTCCTCTTTCAGACCAGCTCTCTGCTGTTGCCCGGGAAGGCAGTGGAGGATGGCCCAAGTGCTTGGGCCCCTGCACCCGCATGAGAGACTTGGAGGAAGCACCTGGCTCCTGGCTTCAGATTGGCGCAGTACTGGCCGTAGTGGCCATTTGGGGGGTGAACCAATGGAAGGAAGACCTTTCTGTCTGTCTGTCTCACTATCTGTCAAATAACTTAAAAAAAAAAAAAAAAAGAACCCAATTAGCTATTTTCCAAATCAGGCACTCCATTATGGAATATCGGTATCCCATGTGGTGACTTAACCACTGCACTGATTACCTGTCCCCATGAACTTTCTGGAGGCACTTCATATGCATGGATTTCAATTTTTTTTCACCAAAGTAAGCTTATCTTTTAATTATTTCCTACAAACTTTTTAAGGTACCCTAATATAGGCAATGTTAATGCATTCACTTAGTAACTGTTCGGAATCTGCTGTGTGAAAACTCTAAGTCATGCACTACTGTGTTCAAAACATACAGTTTGCAGTGTACAGGTATGACTGTCACCACCTAGTTCCGTTACAAATGCTTATATTTTCCTTAATGATGCCGATGATGCCATTTCAGCAGAACTTCTTAAAGGTTTACTTATATTTCTATGTGTGTTTGGGGATGGTGCTACTGATGTGAATGAATGGATTTTGAGATTGAGGTAGGGGAAAGCATTTGGCACAGGGGTTATGATTCCTCATGAGATGCTCACAGAAGGGAGTGTCTGGGTTCATGTCCTGGCTCTGCTCCAGTTCCAGCTTCCTGCCAATGTAGACCCTGGGAGGCAACAGGTGATAACACTAGTAGTTGAGTCCGTGTCACCCATATGGGAGACACAAATTGAGTTCCCAGCTCCTGGCTTTAGCCTGGCCCAGCCCCAACTGTTGAAGGCATTTGAGTGAACCAGTGGATAGGAAATCACTCTGGCTCTTGCTCTCTGCCTTTGAAATTAATTTTTTTAAATATTTGCTTGCTTATTCTACTTAAGCTCACATAAAAATACTCATTTAATATATAGTTTACATGAAATATTATACTAAGCTTTAAGAAAGCAATAATAGGCCTGCTTCAACAACAGAGTTGAAGTTTAGAAAATAATTGTTGATGGGAGGTAGAAAGTTTGGAAAGAAGATATATAGTTCCTATTCTCTAGAAAGGAGCAGAAAGATAAGTAATATCTAAAATAATATAATCTGAAATGTTACTACTGAAATTATGTGAAGCAAAGTAGGGAAACAAGGAGTTGAATATATAGTTAAAATGACTTCAAACTGAAAGCAGCTTTCAGAACAGTTGGAAACTTACTGCAGTTTTATTAAATTTAAGAGAAAAAATGAATTACTGGCATTTGATCTAATTTCTCTAATGTCCATATTATACTTCCCCAGTAAATGGCTGTTTATAAAAAGATAGTAGTTTTCTAATTTTAATCATTCTTTATTATCTCTTACAACTTCTTTTAAGCCTCCTCATCTTTTCCCTTTTAGGGGCAGGAGTATAGACAGATGCTACCTCATGTTTGTTATTTTTTAGCTCACATAAAGTTCTTGTTTAGTTCTGAATACTAAGTTAATGGTACAGTATCAAGGAAATCATTCCTGGGGCTGGCTTTGTGGCACCGTGGAGTAAGCTGCTACCTTACAACATTGGCATCTCCGTATCAGAGCTCTGGTTCAAGTCCTAGCTGCTTCACTTACCATCCAGCTCCCTGCTAATGCACCTAGGAAGGCAATGGATGATGGTCCAAGTGCCTAGGTCCCTGCCACTCACACCAGAGACCTGGATAGAGTTCCTGGCTCCTGACTTCAGCTTGGCTCAGGCCCATCCATCTGCTGTGGCCGTTTGGGGAATGAATCAGCAGATGGAAGATGTCTCTGTCTCTCTGTCTCTTAACTCTCTAACTGCCTTTCAGGTAAATAAATCTCTTAAAAAAATCGTTCCCAAAAGACTAATTTACTTTTTTTTGCCTAATTCATTGTTTATCAATTCTTTTTGAAAGACCACTTTTTTTTTCAGCATTAACAGATTCCTTTAATACGTCATTCAAATATCTGTACCTATCAAGGTATTCCAAAATGTTAATAGAAATAGAATTAGGAGATGTTTATATTGGTGTAAAAATTTTGAAATACATGCGTAACTTTTCATGATATGTAATTTTTATGAACTTTTTTCAGATTTTTTTCACAATTATTTAATAAATATAAATTTCCAAAGTACAACTTTTGGATTATAGCAGTTCTCCCCTCCGCCATAAGCTCCCTCCCACCTGCAACCATCCCATCTCCCACTCCCTCTCACATCCCATTCTTCATCAAGATTCATTTTCAATTATCTTTATATACAGAAGATCAACTTAGTATTTACTAAGTAAAGATTTCAACAGTTTGCACCCACACAGATACACAAAGCATAGAGTACTGTTTTAGTAGCAGTTTTACCGTCAATTCACATAGTACAACACATTAAGGACAGAGATCCTACATGGGGAGTAGTTGCACAGTGACTCCCATTGTTGATTTAACAATTGACAAATTATTTTTGATGTCAGTAATCACCTGAGGCTCTAGTCATGAGTTGCCAAGGTTATGGAAGCCTCTTGAGTTCACCAACTTCTTATTTAATCTTATTTAGGCAAGGCCATAGTCCAAGTGGAAGTTCTCTCCTCCCTTCAGAGAAAGGTATCTCTTTCTTTGATGGCCCATTCTTTCTGCTGGGATCTCACTCACAGAGAAGAAAGACCACTTTTTAAAAAACACTCCATCACAAGGTGGCACCAACTATGGGGTCATTTAGTTATGAATTGCATAAACATTTGCAAATTCCGAAAAGCCACCCAGAGAACTGTGATTTTAAGCTAAAGAAGAAAATATAAACTGTTTGAAGTTTACCTTCTGTTTTGTTATGAAGCAAAGAGTCATAGTTACCCCTGTTCCAGAATAGCAATGAAATTTGTTGGTAGAAGCATAAACTCAACCTGTCCTGACAAGTTTGTACTATTATACATTTGTAATCAACAGTCTCATTCTATTTCAGTGTATTATATTTCATTTTGTTGTTATAAACAAGAATAAAATCCAAGTCTTTTTTGCCTGAGAAGAGATCTTTAACTGATCAGTGAATTTGTTTTGAAGTTGCCATTGGCCCTTCATTTTGCTGTGCTTTTGAGCAAAATTATTTTGACTGAATTAATACTTAAATATATATGTATAGAGAGAGAGAATGCCAGTTATATTTACTTACTAGAAAGTGAATCCTGTGAATACTAAATACGTGGTATTTGTAAACTTTTCTTGCATATCTAGAGTAAATGTCTGGTGGACACTTAATGCATGACTGTGATAGAAGAGACCTAAGAGAGGATGTATGTAGTTAAATATTCTCTTTGTGTAGGCAAGGAAATAGAGGCCCAGAGAAGTGACTGAATTGTCTTGGGTTATTAGTGGACATAAGAAATCTGAATACAGACAACAGGACCTATTCAAATAGAACCAATATTCTGACTGTAATTTGATTGTATGCTTTTCAATATTAATCCGGTTGTACGAGGTGAATGCATTCACCCTTTGACCCCTTACATGTTTGACAATTTAATAACTCAGAAAACACCATTTATTCACTGCACCTGCAAATGATCTTCTACATTAGATTTCCATGAAAAACTTCTATTTTAAAAGCACCTTTTTAGAAGAAAATTTGTCATTTTTTTAAAGACAATATTCACTGAAAGGCAGAGGGCAAGAAACAGAGATTAATCCCTAAATGCCCACAAACACCTGGAGCCAGGCCAAGCTAGGAGCCAAGAACTCAACCACTTCTTTGTGGGTGGCAGAGACCCAGCTACTTGAGCCATCACCTGTTGCTTCTGGGTACACATTAGCCAGAAGCTGGAATTAAGAGTGGAACCAGGACTTGAATGCAGGCTTCCCAATATGGGCTGTTGGCATCCCAAATGGTGCCTAAATTGCTAGGCCAAATGCCCATCCCATCACTCTTCTCTGATTACCATTCTCATTTTTTTAGAACTATCACTCTGCAAAATATTTTCTTATATCGGAAGATTTCTGAATTTGGGTTCCATGGATTCCTAAAGAATCCATTTTATGAGGGTTTTGAACCTTCTGAAATGGTATGTACAGTTTAGTTTGTGGCTTTTGTACATGTGACTACCCATGGTCACTCTGTATTCTCATTTTACGGTTTAGCCTCATTTATTTTTTATTTAAGCTTTCTTAGAAGATGATTAACTGCCTCCATATTATAGTTCCACAGTAATTTGAAGTTTATTAATTTCCAAATGAAAAATTTTACATCATTTTAATTTTCCCCATGGAGTCCTTTCTTCACATTTTAAGTTACTTTATGTTTGTCTTTTGAACCTTTTCCAGATTCTTCATGAATCCGAAAGCCAAGGAGCTCAGAATTAGAAATCGTGTAATAAAGATCTAGTGTAGGATCTTGAATCTGCTGGTGGTGGTATCAGAGTCCTGAGGGAGGCAGACATAAAGCTGCTGAGACAAGTCCAGGAAGCCCCCACTGGGATGGCTTGGCAGACCTCGAGGTCAAAGCAGACAGAGCCCACAGCTCAGGTGAAGCTTTAAGCTTTGGGGATTGGGCACATTTCAGACATCAGAGTGGTACATGGGTCCTGAAGAAAGAGAATCAGGATGGGGTGAACAGACCTAGCCTGAAGAGGAAACAGATTACTACACAAAATCAAAAACATATCTTGCTGCTTGTGAGCAAACTGTCACCTTTCTTAGTGGAGTCAGTGTAATCTTCCAGTACTGAGGCTTTTCACGTGGGAAGGTGCTGTTTTACCTCGCAGTGCGAGTAGTTGTGTCCTAGATTGCGTTTCTCCTTAAAACCTTTGCAGTCATACTAGTATCAGGATGTTAGATTCCTGTGGGTTGAGGTCCTAAGAGGTGTGACTAATGGAAACAAATGAGATGGGGTTTGCAAGCCGTAGTAAATAGAGTATTGAAATCAGTCTGATGACGATTGTGAGCTGTTTTTCTAAAAGGAAAATGCCAAATACACATCACACAAAAATGTTTGACAGGTAAACCAACCTGAACTGATTCATGATTAGTAATTCCTGATTGGGATGGTTGGGATTTTCTTCTTCACCCATTTGTTTCCTGTCCTTTCTTATTATTTCATGTAATTGTTTCACCTGCTGTCTCGGCTCTGCTAAGAATATTGGGGGACTATTAGTTTCCACATTTGAGCCTGAAAAGTAATGAGGGCAACAGCAATACTGAGGCTAGAGTGGAGGTGACAACAATTTGAGAGATCCCTGGGAGCAAGGTGAATTTGTGGCATAGGAATTGTGCCAAGGAAGTCCAGCTGGATGATTCTTCATCTATTTCTGTGCTAGGATCTTGGTTTTATTTTAGTAGCTAAGAATCAGTTCTTCTTTGAATCATGTAATGAGATACTGATACTGAAAACAGCTAGTTAGTTTTGTATGTTTCCTATTAAAGCAGCGTCCAGTTCCCAAGCATGGCTGGCCCAGGCCCTCAGGCAGTGAGTGAGACCCCTGACTGGACAGGGTGAAAGGGTATGGCAGGAAGAATGGCTTTGGTGATAGAATCTAAACTTCACTCAGGGCTATTTGTGACTGTGTTGTAATTTTACTAATATATCTCTCGTAGCAGATTCTTTGGTTGTAGCTAGAATTATTAAATATATAAGACTGAATTTAGAATAAATTCTGGGTAATTCAAGTTGAATAATGTCTCATTGGCCACAAATTTTAAGTCATTGGGAGAATACCTGAATTATCATGTTTTTCTTCTGCTTATTTACCACAAGCAAAGAAAGATGGTTGGTCAGTCGGTCAGTCTTTTTTTTTTTTTTTTTTTTGAGTTCCAACAATAACCAAAAAAAAAAAAAAATCCTTTTGGAAGAAAGGATTCTCAATAGTGTAAATTTTCAAATTTAAAGCAAAACTTAAATGTCAGTTAAATGTTTATGTAACACTCCAGTCTCTATGCTGTTACTTTAACTGTTTTTGCTTCGTCTTTGATCTCTCCAAGCCCTTCCTTAAAGCCCAGTTTAGGTCCTATCATGACTATGAAATAGAGAAAAGCAGTATCTACCCTGATGACATTTTAGGGCATTAATGAAATACAGCATGTCCAGTCTTTAGCTTAAGACCAGTCACATAATAAGCAGTAACAATGGTTACTGTGGTGCCTTTCCCTTTTAACATTTTTGATTCTCTGTCTATAAAAATATTTAGCCTACAACACTTTTTGATAGTTACTTTTCCATTTTAGATGTTATAGTTGTCCCTCCATAATGAAACTGTTGGCTCCTTGTTAGACAAAGATAGTTGATACAAAACTTGGTGAATTGCATTAAAAATCAATATTTATTTCCTTTACAAGCCATTTGATTTTTTTTCCTCAACAGAAAATGAAAACACTAGCAGAAAGGAGAAGAAGTGCTCCCTCTCTCATCCTGGATAAAGCCCTGCAGAAGCGGCCTAGTACCAGGCAAGTGCAAAGCTTTGTGTTACACATTTGATATGTGTGCTTGGAAGATGAAGTTTTTCAGATGTTTTTTTATGTATTAGGGTTGTTTATTTATTGGCACCATCATTCTGTGTTCAATAATAGAAAATGTGGTTGCTGTTCTGCATTTGTTTAACATAACATTCTTTATGGGAACCATAAAGCCTGTGGGAGCTGGTATGTATGCTCAGTTGCTTTACAACTGACTCAGAAATGAATCTCACATCACAAACTACACAGACAGGTTTCACATATTTCCAGAGTCTATTTGAGGAAACTATTGGAAATAGAATACCGAAAACAATGTTTATGCACAAAATTTTGCTTAGTTTTTATCACAAGGTGATGTCTGTGCATCAATATGGTAATATTTTTGCCAATTTTAGATATCAAGAAAAACAACCAGACTAGTATTATTTTAAAATAGAGTAGTAATTTCAGGCATTAATAAGTAAATTAATCAGTGAAATTTGAAGTAAAAATAAGCTAAATATCTTTTAAAGTGGCCTTCTAAAAACTTTTATTTATATAAATAGAAAAGATTTTATGTATTTCATATATGCAGGTTTTTTTTTTTTTTTTTGACAGGCAGAGTGGACAGTGAGAGAGAGAGACAGAGAGAAAGGTCTTCCTTTGCCATTGGTTCACCCTCCAATGGCCGCCGCGGCTGGCACGCTGCGGCCGGCGCACCGCGCTGATCCGATGGCAGGAGCCAGGTACTTCTCCTGGTCTCCCATGGGGTGCAGGGCCCAAGCACTTGGGCCATCCTCCACTGCACTCCTGGGCCATAGCAGAGAGCTGGCCTGGAAGAGGGGCAACCGGGACAGAATCCGGCGCCCCGACCGGGACTAGAACCCAGTGTGCCTGCGCCGCAAGGCGGAGGATTAGCCTAGTGAGCCGCGGTGCCGGCTCTCATATATGCAGTTTTAAGAGCACAATTATACTTCCTATCCTTCCTCCCTCAATCCCTCCTTCACCTTTTTCTTTCCTTTTGCATGAATTAATTCTAAGTTGGTGTATGGACTGGCTGCTTCATTTTATCTTTTAGTGTAGTTGTACCTCAGCATATGCATATTGAAATATATAACGATATTAATTGCTTTTATTCCCACTTGTATCGATGTTAAGGTTTTAAAAGTAATTTTGAAATCCTTCTAAATATCTGTGAATTTCACTTGTGAATATAAGAAGAGGAGTTAAAATAGTCATAGAATTTTAGATAACAAAGGGCACTGAGTATAATTGGATCAAAAATGACATATGTAGATGAAGTGACAGGCTGGGGAAAGTGCTAAGACTTAAATGACTCACTAGGAAATGCCATTTATAATTGCTTTGGGATAGAGAACCACTACAATAATACACAACCATGCCCCTGGCCACACTAACTCCTTAGTACCTCTGCAGTAATTGGTGCTTACGTTAAAACTAGTTCCCCCAATTCCTACCTCAGTAGTAGCAAATGTTACAGATTTTATGTCAAAATAACTAGAGTTGTGTTTTTAATCTTCAGTTTATTTCCGTGAGTTTGTCTAAGTCGGTAATGAGAGTGCGTCGTCCTGAGGAAAAGGACCTTTACCTGTATTACAGGAATGATATTTTTACTCTGTGCACAGGTTAGATCCTAAAGGTTTGCAGAATAGCTGTTAGTAATACAGCCTCAGGATTGGAAAGAACTTTAAAGGTCATCCAATCTGGTGGTTTCCAAACCTTTCTATTTCAGTAGTTTTGATGGGACTGAGGCATCTTTATGTTTTTAAAACTCTATAGTTGTTTCTGATACACCTTTTAAAAAATTATTGTTGAAGGACCAGTTAATATGAGATCTACCGTCCATCTTTACTGATTTTTAAGTGTGTAGTATCTGTTATCTGTAAGGGTTCTGATGTACTTTTGGTGGAAAACCATCGTGGAAAGATATAAAATATCCTTGTGTACTTAATTTGCTTAAAAAAAGAAATAATGGAACATGATTTTAAGGAAGTATTTAAAATTAACAGAAGTGATACATAAATCAGTAGGCACATACATAACATAAAAAATAAAATCCCTGTTTTTTGCCCAGAATAATCACTATTAATAATTTCTGTATCCTTTTAAATGCTTGTCTGAGTATATGTGTTTCATATTTTTATTTGCTTTCCCTCATGTTTAAATTCTTATTTTAATATATTTGTTATTCCTGTTTTCAACTTTCTTGTGGTTTTCTTAAAAATTGGACATCAAACCCTAATGAACTATTATATTAAACATTCAAGTCTTTGATTTTGTTCATCTTTTATATAATGTATGTTCCTGAAGAGCTACACAAATATTTTTATAAACTTGCTATTTTTTAGGAAATGCTATAGAGAATTGTTTTATTAATTGATACACTTCTTTCTTCTTAAAAATAATGAAATTTATTGTAATTTTGCTTTCTATCCATTATACTCAAGAAATATGTAAAATTTCTAAAGTCCAAGATGATAACATACCTATTTGAAGTAGAATTTTTACATCAGAATTCTAATACCTCCTCACAAAAAGATTGCTGTCACTTGATATATGAGAACTGGCCTGCCTTCAAAACATTTGTATTCAATGTGGGGACAAAGAAATAGTGTTTTATTTATTGGAATTCTTTTTGAATTACATGTTTTTTAAATTTTTGCCTTGCATTAGAACCTTACCACTTCTGTTGTCCTATGGTTAATGTGTTAATAATAGTGACTTTTAGATAATAAAGCTTTTATCCAAAGTTTAGCAAAAATCTGCAGGGGATTTAAGAATCATTTAACAGCTGCTACATCTAATCTTTTTTTTTAAATTTAATGAACAAGAGCTGGGTTTAAAGAGGAAAGACGTGAGTTAACTAATAAGTTAACTGTGTTTATGTATTAAATATAGCTTTATCTCCAGTATTTTTGATAAAGCCATAGAGAATGAAATGGAGACATAATTCACATATTTTTTTTTTTTCATTTGTGGGTATCATTCAGATCAGCTGGAGGTGGCTTCTCTAAGTAATTGGTAGAGTATCTGATGTAGCAGGTGATACATCAGTCACACCGTGAAGGTTAGAGGTTTGCTAAGGGGAGCGGTTACAACAGGGTGGCACTCAGCTGCTTTCACTTGTCGACAAAAGAGTGTTCCGTTCTGTGTTTAAGGATAGCCTCACCTTGTGTCGGTTACCTTTGTGTTAGAACTCTGAGCATGTATAGTAAAGGGCTTAGTGTGCTTAGAAGTAAAATGAGAATATTGAATTATGTTATTTCTTAAAACCTTTCCATGTCCCTGTTTATATAATTTGACTTGCTGAAATTCAACAAACCAAAAGACTCTCCTACATATGCCATGAATTCTAATGCTTATAGTTTCATAAACACAACATACTCTCTAGCCTTCCCTCAAATATTGCTTCCTTCAGGACCCTTTCTAACCCTTTGTAAATAAAACCTTATGTATCTTTTAGTCATTGAACTCAATCATACTTCACTGGAATCACATTATTTGTCATTTTCCATTTAGTGTCATAAGACATATTTATTAACAAAATTATGTATGTATTCACTATTCAATTATTTTTAAGATGAACTAGTGAATGAATGAGTGGCTTTGTTTCCAAACCAAAAGGAATTTAGTTTCTGACTTTGCCATCCACTTTTAGATAGCCAACACATGAAAGACTTTGCTTATTTATTAGTATTATTTGTGAAATTTTCACTGGAGTAAATGGAAATTGCTTATAGCAGAATGATCCTGAGTGATTGTTAGAAAGTAATGTCATGCAGCAACATACCCGCAGAACTCAAGTGTGTTACCTGGAGATAGCACATATATTGGAATTCTTATGGTATTTCTTCATTGTTTGTTTAGGAATGAATTCAAATCATGAGAACTTTCCCCCTGAAGATTCATTGTTACCAATATGATAGTGAGCCCACCTTGTATAGATCACACAAAAATGTGTTTATTTTTGTTTTAGACCACAATCTGTTAAGACTTTTAAATTGATATTCACTTATTTATCTTCATCTTCACCTCCTAATTAATGGTGCATATTCTGTTTGCAAGATTTTGTGCTGGTACTTTGCTTATTTTACCTTTGCGATTTCTGCTTACTGCTGCTGAGAGGAGAGAATGGTAGCACTGAAGGATCATTGTGATACAGCAGGTAGTGCTTTTGTAGCATTCAAATACTGGTTCTCCATCATGATTATCTGTGGGCTCTTGGATAAATTGCCTAATCTCTGAGTCTCATTGTTTTCCTGTATAAAATATGAATCATAATACTTCTATCAAAGAATATAAAATGAGAAATGAGTAAAAATGTTTAGAAAATTTGCTTATTGATAGTTTCCTTCTGCCTTCTCATAGATAAATTGTATTTCCAAGCTTTAAACCTCCCACCTCATCTGGTAATGTCAAATTTGTTAATAAAAAACACTTTATCAATACAGTGTTGTACAACTAGAAGTGGATCACTGAGCCCGTTTTATTATATAGCAGAAGTTGAGTCAAATACTCCCCCTAAGTCAGACAGTGTCCGAGACACAACTGGAGTCCAGATTTCTGGTCTTGATGGAACATTCTTTGTATTACACAAACTAAAGGAGTGTGAAATATGAAATAGTGTCTAAGAACATAGACTCCTGATCCAAATTTCAAGGTCTGAATGGTATTTTTTCATTTACTGTGTGATGAGGGATATGTTTTTAACCCAGGGACAATAACAGTATCTACCTTACAGGACTTTAAGGAGAACTGTTGGGTCTAATATATGCAAAGTTCTTGAGACAGAATTTAACACATAATTGATATCATCTATGTGCGAGCTATTTGTTGTTGCTAGTGGTAGCATCAGTAAAAGCAGAAGTGCGCATTATCCTTATATAGATACTTTGAGACAATAGCAACAGTAAATAAGGGTGAAAGATACAGAATCTGAAAGCCAGTTATAGTCTAATATTAAGTTCATTTTTGCTAGACAAATGTCTAGA